TCGGCGGGTGGGTTGGAGGGAACTCAAGAACTCTCGCTAAGTTCGCAGTGCTAAGGCTGAATACTCTTTTAAGTCTATTTGATCATAATCCTAGATCTGATCTCATTCTTAATCAGTTTTTACTTTTGCATAAAAAAGTATTTGATTGCTTTAGCAAAGGCGGCACTGCTTAGCCAATGATTTCTAAACCTTGTGTAGCATTTACTAGATTTAGCACCAACTCACCTTATGATGAGGAATCTCTTGATTTTTCTTTATACTTTAATCTATAATGCTCTGTATCCCTCTTCTTTTAAATGCATACCACTCGATCATTTTACAGTGCAATACTAATGCTTTTCCATCTATTCAATATTTTCATAATTTCTATATCACATAATAAGAGGTTGCACTACTTTATCAAAAATATAAGTGCTGACACTCTTACTTTTATACAACTCCCATAAAACTACTTCGAATAAATTCATTCTGCTATCTAATGTACGTAGTGACTAATCGCCATGCGGTATATTCAACTCGACATGTTAATTCTTGATTCTGTTAAATATATTCTAATTAAAAAGTGAATTTCTAACATTTTTGTAAGCCGATTGATTCGTAATGAAACAATTTTTGTACTTGTATTTCATCAGGCTCGCTTAATAAATCCTAACAATTTATAGTAAAAATATCAATATGGAAAGTATTTCCTTATCATATTTTTTGGTATAGAATAAATTAAGTGGTGAATAATTCTCTGCATCTTTTAGGATTATAAATATAAGAAGGATATAAGATGTGATAATAATTAATATAATTAGTTAACTTGCTTAGAACATTTAGAATAATAATATTTATGCTAATGGAATGCATTGGAAAAGAAAGCTAAAGTTAGTGAATTAAATAATTATAGTCTGTCTAAATATTAGGAAAATAAAAAGTGAACAGGATAATAAGTAGAAATAGTGACTGATAACTTTTTGCCAATTACGTAATAAAGGCTTTGTTAATAAAGAAATCCCAATCATGTACAACCGAAAACGAATTCTAAAAATAGCAAGAAATAAATGGGATTGTAAATCTTTTCAATAAAATTCAGCAATTCAATGATAAAATTTGTAATTCAATATTTTTTGTTAAAAGATGATGAATAGATCTTAACATTCTATCAATTCCTCAAATTCTCTTTAAGTAAATATGATGATTATCTGCTGAGGTTTTGATATTTAACTTTATAATCAGACTTATTTTTGAATTATTTATACGATTGCCAGAACATAAGATTGGAAAAGTTATTATAAAATGATTAATTTTTTTCAGGGTTGAAGTAATAAGTAGAAATTTATCTTATTTTAGAGAGTTTTTTCAAAATGGAAGAATCGGAAAAATAATTGAGAAAGCCTCTTATGATTGATACCAACCTCGTAATTTTGGATCTTTTTAGTCCTAAGAAGAGGCTGAAAATAAACTAAGGGAATCAAAGAATAAAAATATTAATTTGATTAGAGGATTTAGATAATAGAATACAATATATTTATTTATACAAAGATGCTTCTGATATAACTTATTTTGTAAAGGATTTACTCATGCTGCTTATTAGCTAAGTTC